AAACATGTTTTAAATGTCTTTTTCAATAAATTTCAGTCCATTAATATACCATGTTTTTCAGGGGCATTGATTCAATCTATTATTACATTAATTACATAGAAAACCCCCCTTTAAAAAAAAAAACTCTTATATATTTGTATGATCTTGGGAAATCTTGGGAAATTTGTTCACCAAATCTTGGGAAATTTGAAAAAAGTGAGTGGCAGCCCTGGTTCACACAGAAAGTGAGATGGCTACACAACTGATTAATGACCAGTGAGCTTGTAGATTACGGGATCAGTTTCTAATCAAACAAAAGTCCACCAGCACCAAACGAAAACAATATTATTATTTTTTGTTCCAAGAAACTTTAAAGTAAGTGAAACACTCTCACAAGTCATTATACATCTTAATTAATTCATCAAATATAGCCGGCGACTGGGAGGTCGAAAATTCTCGTTGCCCACTTACAGAGGCGTAGCTGCAGTTGGTCACACCCGGCGCTGTACTTCATTTTGGTCCCCCCCCTCCCCCCCCCGACCTTTTTTTTTCGATATTAGCGAAAACTACATGCATACAGAATGCAGCTAAAGAACAAACTATATAACATCTGCTTACTGTACCAGTAAAAAAAAGAGGGGAGGGGGGAGGGAGGGACATATTGTTCGACTATTGTTGGCCACATTAAAAGGGAAACAATCGATCCGTTTGTGCTACGGCAGCAGGTCACTGTGACATAAGTTTAAATAAAAAGGTGGCCGCCCACACCACACCAGGCCACGGGCATCTTGCGAAGTGTCACATGGATATGTGAGGTTGTGTGTATGCGTGTCTGTGTTGATTTGGGGGGGGGGGGGTAAGTAGAAATAGGACACAGCCAACAGATAATATTTGATGAACCAGCAGAAACAGTTTGGACAGCGACGTAACTGCCAGGGGAGGGGGGGGGGGAACGACTGACCAAAGCATTTCATCATTCATGAACGGTTAACTTTAAGCCCCATGGATAAAGTAATTTATGGTAAAGTGGAGCAGTGTTTCACAAAGTTGTGGACCGCGGACCGGAACCAGACCGCAATCCTTACATTTCCGCTTCGCACAACATGAGTAATGAAACTGGAGACAAAAAGTTAAATATGATAATATATAACCCCCCAGAAATAACAGCAACAAAGTACAATAATATACACCTTTTTTAAACCTACCAACAAAAAAAAAAAATTCTGAAGCCACATAGGCTTGTGAACCCCAAACAGCTGTCACTGACAGGCTATTTAGCTTATGGGTAGATCCGACCCTGGTAAAAAAAAAAAAAATTCAAAGTAAGATAAAGCATAATCGTAGTACATTGACTGCCGAGCATTCAAGCGCATTCTTGAATATTATATAAGATGAGATGCGAGGCACCCGGTCAGTCATTGATATATGCAAACTTTCCTTCCACAGATAATCGCCTGTTCACAATGGCCACGGGCAGGGGTTTGAATCATGAGCCAGGAAGAAATGCCGCCAATGTGACGCAATGCCAGTCAAGTAATATACGTTACACTGGAATGTAATGTTAAGACACCATGTTTATTGCGGCACCCTGACTGAGCATCTGTGACCCAATAGCAATGCAGCTCAGGGGAGTCCGTAATCTCTAAGCTTAGTTATCTCAACAACCAAAAAATGGAGACTTCCTCGTCGCCAAGGTTACAGAATGGTGAGCATCCGGGAGATATTTCTAGAAAACAATTGGACGAAATCAGCACAGACCCGGGCCACCCATGTCTGGAAACTGAGGGGCCAGGAAATAAAGACATTTCGACACATGACGGCCAGGAAGACTTGGCTAGTGCCACTAAAACTCCAGAGGTGGAAGACATACAACTTGTGGACAACATTCAACTTGCGGACAACACACCAAATGTTGATGACCGTATAAGGATCAAAGTTCCGGACGGTGGATATGGATGGTTTGTAGTGTTGGGCTGTTTCATCATGCACGTCATCATGGGAGGCCTGGACAGAAGTGAGGGCGTCTTCTTTCTCCTCCTGCAGGACACGTTCAGCCACAGCGCCCAGCTGACTGCCTGGCCGGGAGCCATCGTCTGCACCCTCCAGCTCTTGCTCGGGCCGCTGGCCAACGCGCTCTGCTCCAAGTACAGCGTGAGAACCGTGGTGATCGTCGGGGGGCTTCTCATGTCCTCGGGACTGATCCTCAACTGCAGCGCAACGAGCCTGTACTTTCTGATATTCTCCCACGCCATCGTCGGCGGTGTAGGAAGGGGGCTGGTCTACGCCCCTGCTCTCATCATCGTCGGCATGTACTTCGACCGTCGGGTCGGGCTGGCGGCGGGCCTAGGGACATCCGGTGTGGGCATAGGGACATTTGTTATTGTGCCGCTCGCCCAGTATTTATCTGAGCACCACGGGTTCATCGTGACGTACCTCATCATGGGAGGCTTGAGTCTCAACATGCTGGTTGCAGGAATGCTGTTCCGTCCGTTGAGCATGCATTATAAGATAACGAGGAGTAGAAGATACCAGACTAAGAGCGGTCAAGCCAGCGAGGAAGCCGCGACGTTACATCCATATAAGCCAAAGCTGAACAATGTTCGGAAACACAACGGCCACTACGACAACCAACCAAACTGCAGCGCCGAACAGGAGGGAGTTGTTTCAGGGGCAACATCGTTACCAGTTGAGGTTGTCATGGGCAAACAGAAACAACGTCGGGATGTGAAGATGAGATCAGACAAAAAATGCCCGGCCAGACTTCATGCCTGGATCGTGTCTTCTTTTAAACTGTGTTTCCCCGTGGAGAAATACGCCAAAAAGTCCAAGACGAAACTGTTCCACTTCTACCTGCTCAAGGAGCCACCGTTTCTGATGTTCTGCGTCAGCATTTGGCTCTTCGCCATGGCGTTCAGGGCCGCTTTCACGTTCATGCCGGCGTTGGTGAAATCCAGGGGGATTCCCGAATCCGAGGCGGCCATGGCGTTGTCAACAGCGGGCGCTGTTGACACCATTGGACGTATTGTGGCGGGGTTACTTTTAGATACGTCATTACTGCGGCCCCACCGCCTCGTCCTGTACAACGTGGTTGTGTTTTGCGTGGCCGGCGTGGCGTTCATTTTACCATCACTGACCACCATCGCGTCCTTTTGCGTCTTCTGCGGCCTGTACGGTCTTTTCACGGGGGCTTTCATCTCTCAGAAGTCAGTCGTCCTCGTGGACCTCCTGGGCCAGGAACACATGGCCAGCTCATTTGGGCTTCTGATAGGCTTTCAGGGGGTCGGGAGTCTGCTGGGCCCCCCACTGGCTGGGACGTTGAAAGACCGCTTCGGATCTTACGACGAGGCTTTCTACCTTGGAGGTGGTTTGCTGTTAGTGTCCGGCTTGCTGATGGTGGCAAGCAATGCGTTGTTGAGAGTATCGAGGAACAAGAAACGGATGAAAGGAGAAGAGATCCAAATGTGAAGGTTTGTAACAATGAGTTAACTCCATTGGATAATTTCTAGTTTCTATTAATTTGTTTTTAAACCATTTATCCGTGACTATCTGTTACCCTTATTAACATTTTAAATGAACAAAAATTTATTTGAATCTGATTCTTTAAAAAAAAAAAAAACTTTATAAATATGTCATGACACTTGGCCCAATTACCGGTGATGTCAAAAAGGAAAAACCAGTACAAAAAGTCAGGACCGATTTAAGAGGGTGGGACAATGGGTTTCAGTGAGATAAAAAGGGATGAAACTGATTACTCAAATTTGTAAGCCTCAGTAACACTGCGCCTACTTAACTGAACAAACAACTAGATAAAAAACAACGACCTTAATGCATACAAGACGGCAAGAACTTTTAAAATCAAAAACCCTTTCTTAAGACAACAAAACAATGTGATCCATATTTTTGTATTTTATTATCATGCGTGTTTTGTGGTTGTTTAAAAAAATGAAGTCTTTAATGTTCGACTGATGACGACAGCGGCCGAAAAGTTAAGATGACGGTGTAACGGCCTGTGACCGGTAGAGTAGCCGGTACACGGGCTGGTGTCACGGCCCAGTGACCAGTATAGAGTAGCCGGTACCAGGGCTAGTGTCACGGTCCAGTGACCAGTATATAGTAGCCGGTACCATGCAGGGCTAGTGTCACGGTCCAGTGACCAGTATAGAGTAGCCGGTACCAGGGCTAGTGTCACGGCCCAGTGACCAGTATAGAGTAGCCGGTACCAGGGCTAGTGTCACGGTCCAGTGGCCAGTATAGAGTAGCCGGTACCAGGGCTAGTGTCACGGCCCAGTGACCAGTATAGAGTAGCCGGTACCAGGGCTAGTGTCACGGCCCAGTGACCAGTATAGAGTAGCCGGTACCAGGGCTAGTGTCACAGCCCAGTGACCAGTAGAGAGTATCCGGTACCAGGGCTAGTGTCACGGCCCAGTGACCAGTATAGAGTAGCCGGTACACGGGCTAGTGTCATGGCCCAGTAGAGTATCCGGTACCAGGGCTAGTGTCACGGCCAGTATAGAGTTGCCGGTACCCGGGTTAGAAACTAGATATAAATAAGACCCACGTTATCAGTGGGATAAAAAAAGTGGCATGTGTCAACGAAACATTCCGAAATGAAGGTCCATTTTTCACCCTATTCTATGGATGCACCTGGTTACGTTTTCATATTTGTGGTCAGTACTCAATGTCCACAATAGGGAAACCACTCAATTTGTGTGTGTGTGTGTGTGTGTGTGCACCGAATGGATGGACACGTAGTTTTGTTTCTCCCTGCTTACTCTGCTTGATACAATTGATGGCTGGACAACTCTGATGTTCATAAACAAACTCTCGAACCACGACACTCCTCTGAGCGGGACGTTTTTCAACAGTCAACGGACTGACAACACACAGCCGATACAATGGTAGAATAAGCTGCATGAGCAGAAGCCATGGGACATCATGGCTGAAATCTCCGACATGTTTCACAGTTAGTAACAACTGGCCCTTACCCTCACTGGGTTAACATAATCTCGAGTCTTATTATTTTTATACACTAACAACAGCACAGTTTTAGAACCATCACTAAGTGGGGTTTTTTTTTTTTTTTTTTTTAAATTAGATTATTTATAATTTTTACAAAGTCTTTAAACAAACAAAAAAACTTTAACTGGCCCTTACCCTCACTGGGTTAACATAATCTCGAGTCTTATTATTTTTATACACTAACAACAGCACAGTTTTAGAACCATCACTAAGTGGGGTTTTTTTTTTTTTTTTTTTTTAAATTAGATTATTTATAATATTTACAAAGTCTTTAAACAAACAAAAGAACTTTGACCCAACTTGTTCATACTGTTATGTAATGTAACTGTAAAGTCAAGAGATAACGGTGGGGTCTTCAAAGTGATAACAAATGCCTGCAGTTTGTGATATAGGTTCCAAAAACCCGCTGGTACAAACTGACTTCACTTATGCACTGTGCCGTAGGTGTCTCGGTCAGGAATAACGTTTGTTTTAAGGTAAGAGTTACATATCATTTCGTTTGCGTTTTTTTGTGTGTGGTATTTTAAAGATCTGAATTTGGGCAAATGGGACGTCGTGTGAATTGCAATCGTAAACTGTGTCTCAAATTTCACTGCACCGTGATTACACGCAGGGTGATCTTTGTAAGAGAGAATATCGTGCAGTTGCACTGCTTGACTGTAATTGATTACAGGGAGAAGTTTACAGAGGCACTCATCTCATTCCCGGCACTATGCATGTTCGTACGTGTCGACTCAAGGACCGTTATCTAATCATCCGAGAGTGTTGTACGTAAGCGCAAGGGATCAAGTCCTGCCTCGGTCAGTACTTGGGTGCATTGGATCGAGTCCTGGCTTGCCTGGTACTGAGTGTATGGGATCAAGTCCTATCTTGGCCAGTACTTGAGTGCAAGGGATCGAGTCCTGCCTTGCTTTGTAATTGAGAGTATGGAATCTAGTCCTATCTGGGCCAGTACTCGAGTGCATGGGATAGAGTCCTGCCTTGGTCAGTACTTGAGTGCATGGGATCGAGTCCTGTCTTGGTCAGAACTTGAGTGCATGGGATCGAGTCCTGTCTTGGTTAGTACTTAAGTGCATGGGATGAAGTCCTGCATTGGTCAGTACTTGAGTGCAGGGGATGGATCGAGTCCTATCTTGGTCAGTACTTGAGTGCATGGGTCGAGTCCTGCATTGGTCAGTACTTGAGTACATGGGACGAAGTCCTGCCTTGGTCAGCACTTGAGTGCATGGGATCGAGTCCTGCCTTGGTCAGCACTTGAGTGCATGGGATCGAGTCCTGCCTTGGTCAGTATTTGAGTGCATGGGATAAAGTCCTGCCGTGGTCAGTACTTGAGTGCATGGGATAGAGTCCTGCCTTGGTCAGAAATTGAGCGCATGGGACGAAGTCCTGCCTTGGTCAGTACGTGAGTGCATGGGATCGAGTCCTGCCGTGGTCAGTTCTTGAGTGCATGGGATCGATTCCTGCCTCGGCTGGTACTTAAGTTCATGGGATGAAGGCCTGCCCTGGTCAGTACTTGGGTGCATGGGGTCCAAGGGTCAATGACCTCAGAGCAGACACCAGGACATAAGACTTTTGAGTGTCATCACGATAAAATAGATGATTCTTAGGAAGGATAAGGTCAATTATTTGCCCTCACCATTAAAAAAAAAAATAAAAAAATATGTCATTTACAATTTCAACACAACAAACAACTCCGCCCACCCCACCCCAATAATCACTGTCGTTCCACTGCTATATATTTAATTAAAGTGACGAAAACCTCACAGGTTATAAAAATACATATTGCCATACGAAACAAATCGAACCAAACAAAGGCTGTGTGAAATTAAATTCCCCGGCTGGTCCCGTGACTAATTCGGGCGCCATGAATGAACAGTGGCCCACTTATCATCTACTTATCATGGTGACCAGAATACTAATTAGTAACCCAATTACGTTCGAGCAGTGAGTGACTTCACATGTCTCACTTTACAATTAAGCCCCTGCTATAATTCCTTCTCATGTACCCCATGTACACCTTCACACCCCACCATACTGTCCACCTTCACATCCCACCCTGCTGCCCACCTTCACACCCCATCCCTGCTGTCCAACCTTCACACCCCATCCCTGCTGTCCACCTTCACACCCATCCCTCTGTCCACCTTCACACCCCATCCCTGCTGTCCACCTTCACATCCCACCCTTCTGTCCACCTTCACACCCCATCCCTGTTGTCCACCTTCACATCCCAAACCCCGCTGTCCACCTTCACACCACAACCCCCCCCCCCCCCCCCCCCCCCCCCCTCATCCCACACCCCGCTGTCCCCCTTCACCCCACCACCCCCCCCCCGCTGCCCCCCCCCCTTTTTTCTCTTTAGAGTTCCCTTTTTGCTCCAGACTGCACCTAGCTAAAAAAAAAACTGACCCCACACCTACAACGGAGTGTCACCATAAGCCAAACGGATCAAAAGAACAATACAGAAAGAATGACTTGACTCAGTGTTGACATTGACTCAGTGTTGACAAAGGACGATATCTCCCAGTATACAGACTCTTAAACTAACAGACCCCAGGACGGTTGTCGTCCCTGACCGCTCCACTGCCCCTGGTCCTGGTTTACAATAGACTAGAGACAGAAGCTTTTCCGTTATTCAATAGAGACAAGGGCAGGGGCGGATCGTGGTAAAAAACAACAACACCCCACCAGACTCGTGCACTTGCTGACATTTTTACTCCGCATATAAATAATGTGTACAGTGTCGGTTAATGTACATTGATTTCTTTGCCATCCCGGTTCCTCCCCCTGATTTATTTTTGTATCCGGTGATCAAATGATTTTTAGGCCTATGCTGTGCCCTCGGGTGCGTCGAGTGAGCTGTGGCGCTGAGTGATACCGGGAAAGGGGCCGAGTGGCTAAAAGAAGCAGTTCTGACTTCTTCCCGTAGCAAACATTGAAGGGCTATCGGCTTCACGCGTTTTCTTTCATCTTATTTATTATTGTCACCGTACTACATGTTCAATCATTTATTATTGTCACCGTACTACATGTTCAATCATTTATTATTGTCACCGTACTACATGTTCAATCATTTATTGTCACCGTGCTACATGTTCACGGGGCTCGAATGTCTCCCCAGCCCGGCTGTACTACAATCACCATCCGTGAACAATACGATCGACAGCTGCGTCCCTATCTACGTTGACTGTACCCAGAGCCTCAGACACCTTCAAAATCCGATCATGCAATACGCTAAGGGGAAATTAGATTGTATAACACGTGATAATTTTTAAAGTCACGATCGCAGTGGTGGATTCACTCTAAGATCAAACGAAACCAGGTCTTCGTGCAGCATTACCCAGAGAGGTGGCATAAGATCAGTTCATTGCAATATTAAGGAGATTTATCCAACAGACAAAAAAAAATATAAATACATTTTCTTTACATCTATATGCAGAACATCACAGAGGCTGCATTTAGAAATAGCCTAATCTATTTAAAGTGTATCTTTATTAAATGGCTGCTTCTCCTGGGCATTACCTTCTGGAAGTTGAGTTCTCATTTTAAAAAAAAAAAATTATTATTAGTAATATTTTAATTTTTTTTTTTTTTGGTGGGGGGGGGGGGGGGGGCAATTTAATTCGCTTTGGAAATGCAGCGGGAAGACCTGTTCTCCAGTGTTTGTTTTTTTTAAACAACCTTTTGGATGTTCACATCAATTCTATTTTTGGGTACTAGTTTAAGAAAAAGTTTCTTTTGATAAATTTGTAAAAGAAAAAAAAAATTGGTGGGGATGGGATGGGTGGGAGAAGTAGTCAATCAAAGATTCTTACAAAAGGCGCCATAACAGCGAGCGTTATTGGTGAATTAGATGAAGAGAGTGAGAGCAGTTAGAAAGTCCATATAAACTGTTTAACTGATCTGCTGTTTTGTTTTACTTCGCTCCTTTTGTCCCGACTCCCCATAATTCTGTTTCAACTTGGTCGGAATACTTAGGGCTAAAAAACGGTTCAGCAAATGTTATTTATTTAGGCATTTTTAAATAGCGCTTACATTAAAGCTCTAAGCGCTTTACAATTATTAAAAACATGTAAACTAACTAAAATAAAAATGAGACATTAGGATACTACTATACTATAGAAACAATTAAAATGGCTATAAAACGAGGACACTTTGGCACGTTTTGGCCTATATTACAGGATTAACCCGAGACAGAAAATGAGGCAGGGCAAGGAGGGTACATCACAGGTCATAGGCGGACCTAAACAGATGGTTTTTAAGGGACTTTTTAAAAGTGGACGAGGTTTCACAATGACGGATATGGAAGGGGAGCTGGTTCCAGAACGTGCGCCCATGGAAGTAGAAGGAGCGTTCACCGATGGTCTTAGTTTTGGTTCTTGGGATTGAGAGGGTTCTATTGTCAGTGGAAGAGCGTAGTTATCAGAGTTCCAGTTTCATATCATATGTAAAGTCATTGATGGCCAAATATAATCCATGTCCTTTCGTTTGACTTAGCCGAAAATGCTGCCCACCCCTAAGTAGAGAACTAAAGTGCCGCCCCCCCCCCTTTTCCTACGCCACTGGATAAAGTTACAATAGAAATAATCTTCTGAAATATCAAGGACTGTTATGGTCTCCAGCGGATTTGAGGGTAAACTCACATACACATATTTTGTTTTGTTACAGAGTTTTAGAAAGATAATGGACAGCTGTGACGAGCAACACGGACAACAAGGTGAGCTGGAGGCACATGCCACCACGCATCCAGACGATAGAGCTCCCGGGGATCCCAACACAACGGCTGACCGTGTCGAGTATAACGAAACATTCAAAGGTGATGGTGACACCCCTCGAGATGCCAATGAAGACCCGCACACGACAGAAGATGACACGAAGGAAATATTACTGGACGGCAAACCAATCTCAGCAGAGTTTTCGGAACCGGAAGCGCCAGACGGCGGTTACGGTTGGTTTGTCGTCCTCGGCTGCTTCCTGTCGCACGTGCTCAACGGGGGGCTGGAGCGCTGCGACGGCGTGTTCTACCTTCAGTTCTTGTCCAAGTACGGCCACGGCGCCCAACTGACCGCTTGGCCGGGTGCTGTCGTCTCCACCATCAGGCTGTTCCTCGGGCCGGCCGCGAGCGCCGTTTGCAACCTCTACAGCGTCAGGACGTCGGTCATGTGTGGCGGGCTCCTCATGACGGTCGGGTGCATTCTCAACGGGTTCGCCCCAAATTTTTATTTTCTCTTCTTCTCGCACGCCTTTGTCTCGGGCGTTGGGAGAGGATTCACGTACGCCCCAGGAATTTTTATTCTGGGGATGTACTTCAACAAGAAACGGGGTCTAGCCGCAGGACTGGGTTCGTCAGGAGTCGGGGTGGGGACATTCCTTATAGTTCCCCTGGCTCAGTACCTATTTGATGAGTATGGTTTCGAAGGAGCTTTCCTCATCATGGGTGGCATCTCCTTCCATATGCTTCTAATCGCCATGATGTATCGGCCTTTGAGTATGAACGCTAAGTTCAAAAGAAATCATCTCCAGAGGGAGAAGAAGAAGAAAACGCCGATAGACGTCGACCATGAAGAAAGTTTTGTTCTGGTCAAGGTCCGCAAAGCCCCTCATACAGAGAGACCCAATCTCGTGCGTTCTACCTCCAGGAAAAGTGTGGACGGCGAGGAAAGGATGGACGTCTCTGACAGTATCACGAGCAAAAAGGCGGAAGGGGCGTCTCAAAGAAAGGTGAAACGCGAAACAAAGAAAAACTGTTTAAAATCGTCGTTAAAAATATGTTTCCCAAAAGAGTACAATGACAAGAGCGGCGGGTCTCCTCGGCGCATTTTCCATTTCTACCTATTAAAAAACTGGTCCTTCCTGATGTACTGCATCAGCATCGGCCTGTTCACGATGGCTTTCAAAGCGGCCTTCACCTTCATACCCGCCCTCGTGAAATCAAAAGGGATACCGCAATCGCAAGCGGCGCTGGTGCTATCGATAACCGGTGTCCTTGACACCGTCGGCCGGATAGCCGCCGGGGCTCTGTTCGACCTACCCGGGCTGCGGAGAATCCGCCCGTTCCTGTACAACGTGGTCATGTTTGCGGTCGCCGGGGTCGCCTTCGTGCTGCCTTCGCTGAGCACGTTCCCGGCGTTCTGCGCGGTGTGCGGCGTGTACGGCATGCTGACCGGCGCCTACGTGTCCCAAAAGTCCGTCATAACCGTGGACATCCTGGGCGCGACCCACGTGGCCAGTTCATTCGGGATATTGATATTCTTCCAGGGGCTCGGGACTCTTTTGGGCCCACCCTTGTCGGGGGCCCTCAAAGATCACTTCGGGAACTACGATGAGGCATTTTACCTTGGCGGCGGGTGCATGTACGGCGCGGCAATCTTCATGATTGTCAGCAACATATTTCTCAGAATACAAAGGCGAAACATGAAGAAACGTCAGGTCCATGAAATTAGTTAATACTTATTAAAACATTAGTCGTAGAGTATATGTACAACCACTGTCAGAGGAACGAAGGCGGTTCTACGACCATAAATAACGCTATTTATATATTAGTGGTCAAGAGTGTATGTAAAACGACTGGTATAGGAAGGTGGTGGGCGATCCGCCGCCCCCCGGGTGGCATATTTGTTCAATTTGTTGAGGGGGAGGGGAGCATAAAAGAAATCTAGGCCTGCCAGGACAACTCTACATGTGGTCAACCCAGTAAAACTATATACGAGGGAGAGCAGGGTATAAAAACATTGGTGGTACACCTAGACGATGACAGTCACTGCAGTACATCATGACAATGGCAGGGCATCATGACAGTGACACCACATCAAAACAGTGTCTGCATAATTTTTGTCATTACAAGCAGAGATCAAAGCATTGCAGATAATCCAATTAAAGCAATCCAGTATTCATTGCATGCAAATTAAAATCTCTGCTCAATGAGTCAAAATTGATCAGATCCAAGTGTGTCCCATCTACTAGACCAGAGTGACATACAATAAAAGGAACTCAACCACAAGCTACTGGTGTTTCAGTGAAATTGTTTTCATAGGAAGACTCCATCTTTACAAACTAGTCTTTGTTAAGAATGTGGAGAAATTTGAAAATAAAATATTTGTATATGTGATGTCAACTTGTATCTGTGATGTCAGCTTGTATCTGTGATGTCAGCTGGTATCTGTGATGTCAGCTTGTATCATGATGCCAGTTTGTATATGTGATGTCAGCTTTAATTTGTGATGTCAGCTTGAATCTGTGATGTCAGTTTGTATATGTGATGTCAGTTTGTATCTGTCATGCCAGCTGGTATTTGTGATGTCAGATTCTTTCTGATCCTAATAAATCAATGATCAATGAGAATTATTTTTAAATATGTATTCTTTTTTTTCCTAAGAGTTTGATTTTACCATTGTTTTTTCTAAGACACATTCTACATGCTACATCCCTCATCTCTATCATGCGCCACATTCAATGACAGCTGGCTGTTGTCACAACTGAACCTAATTAAAAATTCAAGTCTGAAAAAAAAAATGACGAAGTTGTCACTCCTCAAAAACAACTCAGCAACTGTCCGTAACTTCAACTTACAGCCGCGATGACACCTTCCTTCTCGTCATCTGCATAGAGAGCCGGCACCATGCCCGTGGTCAACATATTGTTTATCAACTCCAAGAAACCTAAACAGCACAAAGATCATACTGTTTAAATCTTATTTTAAATGTAGCGGCCAGATGCAGCAAGAAAAGAAAGGCAACTGGTGAAGTGCGGGGGAGGGTGTACACAATTATTTCATATAAATAATGCTGCTGTCATAAATGCTCTCTTTTATACATACTCAAGGAGGTAAGGGTTTGGGTGGAGGGGGGTTGCCATGTGACTTCAAACCCTACCCTGACCTATGTCATTCGGTGTCATACATAGGTTTTAAGCGATAAATAACTTTATTCGCACTGAATAATGTACGTTGCTTAAAAAATGTTAACAAAATTATCACTGGCCAATGGGAACTTAGCAATAATTTATATTGATTCATAAATATGTAAGGCTTGTCATCCAATATCAGCTGTTAATGACCCTAGGTATGGCTCGTCATCCAATATCAGCTGTTAATGACCCTAGGTATTGCTTGTTAACCAATATCAGCTGTTAATGACCCTAGGTATGGCTTGTCAAGCAATATCAGCTGTTAATGACCCTAGGTAAGGCTTGTCAAGCAATATCAGCTGTTAATGACCCTAAGTAAGGCTTGTCATCCAATATCAGCTGTTGATGACCCTAAGTAAGGCTTGTCATCCAATATCAGCTGTTACTGACCCTGGGTATGGCTTGTCAAGCAATATCAGCTGTTAATGACCCTGGGTATGGCTTGTCAAGCAATATCAGCTGTTAATGACCTAACACCTATTTAACCCCCATGCACAAAACTGCCCTCTTTTGATTAAATCAACTGGTCATTGACGGTGATCAACTACAATATATCAGCAACTATTGACATCACATTTATTCTGATGGCACAAACAGAACTGAACAAGCTGACCGCCCATGTGATATGATCAATTCTCAGCCTTTACATGTACCCACCAATGACCAACAAAACAACACTAGACATTTAAAAATGCAAAGAGTGACACACAGAACCCTACAAACAAAGACAGGCTGGGACACTTTTGTTTACCTTCCTCGGCCACCTGTTGGTCAGTAAACAGAAAGGCCACCTGTTTGTTTTCCATTCCCAACTTGTTGTACAAGACCTTTAAATCATCCCTGTGGCACACACAAAACAAGTTTACACACATCTCCAGAAAATAAAATGTCTTCTCATCCATCCATACTACTTAGAAACACCAAATTACATAGCCTAATAGGCACAAGTTCACTAAAAAAAATAACAATTAAAGTTTGATGAGCTTAACTTAAAACTGACTAAAATATACAAATGACAAAACAAATGATATTATTTTTTAAAGTTCCTAATATACACAAAAAATTAGAATTGAAGAATATTTTAGTTTCCGATTCACTCCATTGTCAAAGTACTGAACATAATTTGGTATGCAGCAATTTAGTGAAAAAGACAAAATATGTCACTTACCTAAAGCTGCTCTCGTTGTAGCTGCGGCTCTGCATGATTTGAAAGACTAAATACTTCACTCTCCTAAAACTAATCTCATTGTAGCCTAGACTCAGCTTGATTTAAAAAGACCACATCACTCACCTAAAACTGCTCTCGTTGTAGCCGCGGCTCAGCATGATTTGAAAGACCTCACACCTGGCGGCATAGGCAGCTAGGTGACACAGACTTTGCTTGCCGCTGCCCCCAACACCTACCAACAAGGAGTTGCCCCTGTACAAAACAACAAGACCAGTAATAAACTAGCATAGTTTACACAACATGATCACCACATGGAAGTTGTGCATACCATGATCACACAATGGGAGTTGTGTACAACATCAACACACCATGAAAGTTGTGCACAACATGAACACATCATGGAAGTTGTTCACATACTCTTAAAGGCCAGGAGACAGATACAGGTTAAATGTTTAAAGAATATTTTAACTTTTATAACTTAAAAAGCTGATCAAATAAAAAAATTATTTTAGCTAAAGACCCAAGTGCTACAAGTACTTAAGTCACATTTTTGTCAAAATTAATCTAAACCGTGACATTTAAAAAAAAATCTGATTATGCCGAGTGTAATTCATAAATTTGAAGACATTAAAATGTAGCTGAGTCCCTTATTTAAACCAGCCACAAAAAAAAAAAAAGAATGATCAAATTTTATATATAAAATATATTTTAACTTGATTATCTCATAATAGATTTTTTTGTGACGGAAGTACTTTTAGCACTTAGGTCCTGATTGACAGCCTTTTTTTTTTCATTTGGTACTATTAATAATATAACACATGTTGAGTAGGGGGAGGGCCGATTGTGAAAATGAGTAGCCACACCAGTAGCAAAATACACGTAAGAGATTTCTAGCTACACTTTTAAAAATTATATATTGAAATTCTAGCTATATTTATACAAATTGTAGGCCTATATTTAATATTCCAACTATATTTATACAAATTGTATATTATATATTCTAGCTATATTTGTACAAATAATATATTTTCATTGACATCTCTGATCATAAATAGAGAAGAGCCAGAAGTTGTTCAATAACTATCAGGAAAGTCAATAAAGTTTACGCTATAGCTCCCCTTTGTAAATCTTAAATTATAATTCATTTTCAATATTTCAATATTTATAGGCAGAAAATGTTACAGTCATATAATCATAGAAAAAACACACATATTTAAACCTTATTTCACTTGACCAATTAAAAATTAATATCAGAGTTTCTGAGCGCAAATGGTTTAAAACCAGTTACATCCTGCCTTTGTCTAGGATAAATGTATCACTAAGCAGGATTCTTAACTTTATCAATGTCCACTTAAAGGGTTATCTGTGCTGACCTGTCCATGCGCAGCACACGGTGTATTCGCGTCAAGTTTTCCAGGGCATCGTCAAATAGCACAAGTCGCATGGAGCCTTGAACGTCGTTGTAATCTTCCAGAATCTGAAACATTTCTTGTATCAATGCTTTGGGATAGAGATGTGTTCTAACCTATCAAATCAGCTTTATTATTTTTAACTGTCTGGCAAGACACTTCTCTTACCATACATTTGGAATAAGGATGAATAAAAAGTTTTTTGAGAGAAAAGATTTTGTAAAAAAGAAACAATAGTCTTTGTTACTACCCACTGGCTCCCTGTCGATCTGCTCATGCCACTGGCTCCCTTCTAATCATCATCTCATGCCCACTCACTGCCCCTTTCCCTCTCCATGAAAGGGAGTGCATTCAAACAAGTTGAAACAAATGACAGCCGATAGTCATACATAAAGACTTCTCACCTCATGAAACAAAGCCTTACACGCCTCGTAGTCTTGTAAGTCCTCGTAAATCCTGGGCTCCCCTTCCTCCAGAGCAAACCTGAAGTCTCCAAACAGAATTGGATTTCTGGCTATGCTCTCCATATTGGCCTCCTTAAAATGTTCTTTTATCAGACGGATTATGTGACCCTGGGTGGAAGGGGAAAAAATGTTAGACACAAGAAACTGGAAATGAACAATTTAAATGAATTTTAAATAAACCATTTTGATCAATAAAATAGTACATGACACATCAATATACACCAACACGTGGCCTGGTACATGGAAAACCATGTTAATCAAGCAGGCAGGATTTCCTAAACATTTCCCTGAACCTGTCCCATTACCTGCACTAGCATGTTATCCTCCACAGTGATTAGCCTGTCACAGATCACCCTCATACACTCGTTCCTCCACAGCCTCAAAAACTGATTCATGTTGGTAAAACGGTCAGGTGTTGACATGCACAGACCGTTGTAGATCCGGGACAGGTCCCGCAGATTGAAGATGTAATGGAACTTAGATGGCGTTGGAGGTAGCTCTTTGATTAGAATTCTTCAGGTGTCGGTCATCGGATTTTTAAAAGCATTTGGAGGAGGGTTAAGAAAAAAAAAGAGATGTGATATTAAATGATCTCAGAGATGTTTGAATACCTGTAATGTTCATTGTTATAGGATTTGCAAAAAACATAACTTGAATTTTTTTTAAATAAAATGTTTATTTTAAAAAAAGTAATTCAAGAAAAAAGAATTCATGATGAAGTCAAACAAACAAAATAAAACAAATTAAAAAGTTAATTAAAGATCATAAAATATGGTATGATGGTTTTAATTGGTTTTTTAATTAATTCAAATGGTTTATTGAAGATGATAAAATATGGTCTGAAGGTTTTAATTTAAAAAAAAAATTCAAATAGTTTATTGAAGATGATAAAATGTGGTATGGTGTTCATTTAAAAAAAATAATAAATTTAAAATAGCTTATAACAGAGTTTTAAAAAACAAAACAATTACGAAATAACTTACAGATAAAGGTCCATTGTCAACTGAGTCAGCTTGGTGGCGTTGCGGGATATTTCTAAATCAAAAGCCTTCAAATGTCCGTCCAGAATGGACACATAAATCTTCAGTAGTGATGACGTGTCAGGGAATGTCATGTTGAAAACTGAGAAAAGGGAGACAAATCTGGGGTCCGTCTCATTACGACCACCCCCAGCTTTCCCCATAGATGCGATGTAGCCGAGATCTTTCATGTTTTTCCAGCCAAGCTCTTTACCCCTGTCGTAAAGACCTCCACGATCAAGTAAGAGTTTCAACATGGCTATAGGCTGCTGAGTGCCGTAGGTGTCAACCTATTGGAAACAATGAGACCAGTACATAATACTTCAATGTATTTGGAAACAATGAGACAAGAACATAAGACTTCAACCTGTCTGGAAACAATGAGACCAGAACTAAGATACTTCAACCTGTCTGGAAACAATGAGACCAGAACATATTACTTCATACTGTTTGGAAAAAATAAGACCAGAACTAAGAGACTTCAACCTGTTTGGAAACAATGAGTCATGTTGAGCTCATCATCAGCCTCCCAGTGGCATGTTGAGACCATCATCAGCCTACCTGTAGCATGTTGAGCTCATCATCAGCCTACCTGTGGCATGTTGAGCTCCTAATCAGCCTACCTGTGGCATGTTGAGTTCATCAATGAAGATGATGAGTCTCTTATTAGAAGGTGGTCCATATGTGTCTTTAGTCCTCTTCTCCATGTTGGCCTCCAGGTTCCTCTGAACATCAAGTGATGTTGTACGAGAGGAGAAGTTCATGTTCAGCAACAACTGATGAATGAAAAAGAATTTGATTTAATATAAAGAATTTAAATGTTACCAATATAAAGTGATTAACTAGTATATACTTCTTGGACTTGATGCAATTAGTCTCTATCTGAGATAAGATTTTTTTTTCATTTGATCTTAACTGGTGTAATTCTCTTTTTATTTGAGTAGTAATTATGTTGTACCAGTACTTTTAAAAACGGACCAGTAAATAATGTTCCACTGTTGTATAAAAACATTTAAAGCGAGTGAATCAAATTTATTTTCAAACTATCTTTCTTGAGAATTGGATAAATTGTAATTTATCTTATGGGTATAAATATCCTATATGGATAAAAAGTATCCTATATGGTACAATATACTTTGGTACAAATATCCTTTGGTTACAAATATCATATTGGGTACAAATATCCTATGGGTACAAATATCCTACATGAGTACAAATATCCTATGGGTACAAATATCCTACATGAGTACAAATATCCTACATGGGTACAAATATACTATGTGTAGAAATATCCTAATTGAGTACAAATATCATATATCAGGGCTAAAAAGAAATCAAGAGTATATCCAACAGGTCCAAACAGAACTCAGAAACTGCAGGTTAAGATCTGATGCACAATTAAGAAACTGTAGGTTAAGATCTGATGCACAATTAAGAAACTGTAGGTTAAGATCTGATGCACAATTAAGAAACTGTAGGTTAAGATCTGATGCACAATTAAGAAACTGTAGGTTAAGAACTGATGCAAAATTAAGAAACTGTAGGTTAAGATCTGATGCACAATTAAGAAACTGTAGGTTAAGATCTGATGCACAATTAAGAAACTGTAGGTTAAGATCTGATGCACAATTAAGAAACTGTAGGTTAAGATCTGATGCACAATTAAGAAACTGTAGGTTAAGATCTGATGCACAATTAAGAAACTGTGGGTTAAGATCTGATGCACAATTAAGAAACTGTAGGTTAAGATCTGATAGGTTTTATAAACTAAACTCATGCCGCTCACAAGAAGCCTACAAAATTATTGAAAACTTCAACTCCAATAAATAAATAATTGAAAAACTTGAACATGTTACACTAAAAAATGCCATTCCTTACAGTTGTCTCCTCATTGACTGATCTCAGAAAGTTGAGAATGGTGGCCGTCTTCGAGGTGCCCGTCTCCCCCACCAAGACCACCGGACGTTTTATCTGGACATTTAACTGCAGCAGCCAGGTGGCTCTGACCTGATGTTCAAAAACCAGCAGAGAAGGTTTCATGCTTGACTCAGTCATTTTTCAGGTCATACGAGAAATTAAAACATTTTGTGCTAAATTTTTTTTCTGTTTCTCAATCTCAATAAAATGGTTTATTTCTCTAACAGTTAGTAAATATCACCATTGGCTAAATAGAGAGGTGAAGTTTGTTCTCAGAAAAAAAAATGCAAAAAGCTGTCCAAGATTTGCAGTTAATACTTTTGTTATCACAAAAAACGAATCAAGTATGTGTCAGAAATACCATTGGCTTTTAAGCATGGTATTTTTAAGACAAATTCAGCCAAATATACCATTTAAAGTTATATATAAGCATAACATTTAAAGTTAGATATATAAGCATACCATTTAAAGTTAGATATAAGCATACCATTTAAAGTTAGATATAAGCAAACCATTTAAAGTTAAATACAAGCATACCATCTAAAGTTAGACACAAGCATACCATTTAAAGTTAGATATAAGCATAACATTTAAACTTAGATATAAGCATAGAATTAAAAGTTAGATATTTTCTAATGAAAAGTTAAAGATTGGCAAGTAATTAGAAATGAGCTGTACAGAGAGGATGGAAATATTGCCTCGTAAATATGCCTAATGAATAGCACTCAAGTTTTTTTCCTTACAGTTTCCACGGTGGGCACAAGAATATCATAGAACTTTCTATCTGGGTCGTGCTCATAGGGTGGGACAAGCTTGGACCAGGGCATCCACTTCTGGACACTGGAGTCGTACTTGTGTTCATACAGGGTCTTGATGCCTGGCATCTCACCTGCGAGTGGAGGCAACATGTCATTACACCTTTATAAAAATGGATGCAGGTTTTTTTTGTAGAGGAGCACACAGCATTTAGCACTTTGCACTTAGCACACTGCACTTAGCACTCAGAACGAAATACAAGGAGATAGTCGCTGGCTGCTTAGGTTAAAAAACACTGTGGTACAAGTAGCAAGCTGCAAGGGCATATTATCATTTACCTGCTTCTGGTAGCTTATGAGGGTCTGAAATGACGCTCAGGGAAGACAAGTATTTGATGTAGGCATCAAACCTGATACGGCTGTCTTCGACCAGGGATGCCCCAAGCGACCAGACAAGGGCCTGAATCATGAGGGCCTCCAGCTCAGCGTGCGAGTAGTCCCTGTCATCTGTTGTGGCCGTCAGCATGATGGTCAGCTGTTGGAGCTGGTCAGAACAAAAGTAGTAAACATGGCAGATTAAATATAAAAGTTTGTTGCGGCCTTGGATAAATATACAAAAACCTTTGGAACTAGTTCTAGAGCTTACAATTCTGAAATTCTGGGGGGGGGGGGGGGGGTGTGGCATGAGGGAAAAATAATAAATTCATTAATGATCTTATCAGAGTCAAATTCTTTGATAATTTTGTTGAATGTTTTGTACACTTGAATTATTTGTGAGAAGAATTCTAAATACATTTCAGATAACTTTTCAACTCTGAAGCTAGCCAAAAACATTACAACAGTACACTAAACCAGGGGTCATGAAACAACGGCTCGTAGGCCAGATCCAGAGGCGTAGCAAGGGTGTTTGGCACCCGGGGACAAGATTCACGCCCGGGGACAAGATTCACGCCCGGGGACAAGATTCGCGCCAGGGGACAAGATCCACTTAAAAGCGCTCCCTTTTCTTTTTTTCAACTCTCAAACCCATTATTTTTTACCAATAATATAAAATCAAAGCACATTTTGGCGCCCCTAACTAGCTTGTGCCCGGGGACATCTGTCCCCCCCTGCCCCCCCTCGCTACGCCTATGGCCAGATCCGGCCCGCTACGTTAGTTCATCAGGCCAGCCGAGGGTAATCAAATGTGCTTGATAAAACGTATGAAAAACGAGACGTGATACAATTTAAATATTATGTTTAGAGTGCTAGGAGGTCTTCACACATGCGGAGACGTCCTGGCTGCTATGTGCCTTAAATTTACCATTTTAAATTTTCTTGATCATTCAATATTATAATGTTTTCTTATTCCCCATCATACCAACTCTTTCCCTGGGTTGTGCTAGCTCCGCATGATGTGACTAATCTTTTTTCCATGATAACTTTTTTAGTTAATGTCACATTAAGAAATGGCGTCAGCGGGCTGTCAAGGTAGTGCTCTTTATGCCCTCCCCAAAGCACCCCCCCCCCAAAGCCTGGTATTGGGCCGCAAAGCAGCACATTGGAGATGTCCCTTTGCAAGGACAGTTAATAAATATGTGGGTTGTGTTTATTTTTTTGTACATTGCACGCCATTCACCCCAAGATTAACATGGACTACTAAACTTAGTTTTTCATCTTTTTTTCCCCCAGAGCTTTTCGTCCTGGACTGCAAGTATTGTACAGAACGATTAGATGGCCCGCACTCCTCATTTTGTCAGTTATCTGGCCCAATGTGAAAAATATTGGTGCCCCCCTGGTCTAAGACAACAGCGAAGATGAAGAAAGAATTTTTTTTAAAATGAGAGCACCATGTTCAAGTTGGTGAGTGGCAGAATAGTTTTCAGCTTCTCCACAGGCTGCCCATCTTGCAGCCCGTCGACAACCAGCTCCATCAAGTTAGGGACGTACTTCTTGTACAGCGTCTCAAATATTTTGCTCTGGTTGGGTTGACGGGACCTGCGCCACTTCTCCCAGAAAGGGAAATATCCCAGGTTCTTCGGGTCAACGAAAACCATGCCGCACCTTGATATCGTTGCGGGTGAGGCGTATTGCAAGTCAAACACCTGGGAAAGAGCAAATTAAATGTCCCAGTTTAAAAGTAATTTAATACAGATGAGAAAAATCTTTGTTTTCTTTAGATCTATTGATGCATTCTGTGCTCAGGTTTCATTAACTGATAAGCTACAGAAGCAAATGAAAGAAAATTTGTCCGCCCACCTGCATTACACAGCAGATACAATTCGAGAGTGTGTCTTACCTCAAACAACATGGCACAGTAATTCTGCAGACGGATTCTCTCCCCATTTGACAGAGTCAGCAGCTTGTTGTCATCCATGACAGAGTTCATGTTCTCTACCCACAATGCATCGACATCCCCATCGTACACAATGTACCTCAGCTCCTTCCTGTCGGTGGGTTTATTCATTTCTCTGGAAGATATGCAAGAGCACAATGGTACAAGTTACAACACAGCACTACATGTTACAGCACAACGGTACAAGTTACAACACAGCACTACATGTTACAGCACAAGGGTACAAGTTACAACACAGCACTACATGTTACAGCACAATGGTACAAGTTACAACACAACACTACATTTTACAGCACAATGGTACAAGTTACAACACAACACTATGTGTTACAAAACAATATTACAAGTTAAGCACAATAATACATGTTACAACACAATGTAACATGTTACAAAACAACACTACATGTTACAAGATTTGAACATAAACAAAATTATTTCTAAATTTCAAAATGTCGCTGGGTTGAAAAGATTATTAATATAACATTTTGATTGGTTGCATCCCACACCACTTTAAGTTAAACAACCGGTGTGGTCCATGCCGCTACCTTCTCCCTCCCATTTTTAAACACTTAAATCACTTTTTTTTGTTGCTTCATGAACAGCTTGAAATAAAGTTAATTACCTGAAAATGTTAGACAAGAGTCCATCTGTCCAGTCCCTGGTGACTGGGTCAAGGACACCGTACAGTTCAACTACGGGTCTTTCTTTTGGATTTATAATGTACAATTTGGTTGGTGTTCCGAGCCTAATAGATTATTAACAAATGGCCCAGTAAGCACTCACAATGTCTCATCTATATATAAGGCTGAAATTGTTTACATTATACTAAATACTGTATAATTTTATTATTAGGAGATTTAACATTGAGAACCTTCTGGTTACAAAAAGTGATGGGGGAGAAAAAAATCCAAATTAAAAATAGACTCTAAATTAAAATACAATAATTGGCAGTTTTTTAAAATTCAGGAACACACATGCAGTTTAATATTATCATCCATAAATGGATAGTGCTCATCCAGTTTTCAAATCAGAGGCACTGACCTGGTTTGTGCCTGGACCAGAACATTAAGCACCACAGATTTGCCTCCCCCTGTCGGCCCGACCAGCATGGTGCAGTGCCTGGTCATCATGGTTTCATACAGCTGGACGATTTTGTCCACCTGGCAAGTATGTGAGGATGGCATTACATGAACAGATGTCAGTACAGGACAAGCAACACTTAAATAACAATACATGGCCAGGGAGTGTATTTCATGAATTGTTACTAACATTATTATAGCATAATATTTTATTAGTATAACATGAATTGTTACAAACATTATAATAGTTTGAAATGAATTGTAAATTACATTATTATAGTACAATATGAATTTAACTAACATTATAATAGTATTACATTATTATAGTACAATATGAATTTTAACTAACATTATAGTGGGATAACATTATAATAGTATAATATGAATTGTTAATAACATTATAGAAGTATAATATGAATTTTAACTAAAATTATAATAGTATAATATGAATTGCAACTAATATTATAATATTATAACATTATAATAGTATAATATGAACTGTTACAAACATTATAATTGTATAACATTTTAAAAGTATAAAATGAATTCTTCTAACATTATAAGAGGGCAGATCATTCTTTTTTAGACACTAGTCATTGATTCTCAAAAAAAATTTCTATAATACTAGATCAAGTTAACTATAAACAAAGTGTGTTAAAATTCACTTTTCTATAAATTTCATTTATTAAACCAATTAATTTATTATATCTAGTAAGATCTTACATGCTTGGGTAGATCACCATACTTTTTTAAAAGGGAGTAATTAGATCTGAAGTGGATCAAATGAAATATTTTACGGGTCGTATATTAGATCTGAAGTGGATCAAATGAAATATTTTACGGGTCGTATAGTAATATCCTAAGGCCGAAAAATGAAACTTGAAGAAATGTCTTTAACGTGGATGGGTGGAAATATCAATGAGCTGTTCTCTCCCCTCATTGACCAAAGAGAGGCATCGCAAAGTTGTTGTGAAGGGAAGGATAGTATGATTGAAAAATACCAGGCCAATTCATTATTTTGGAACGATTCGTTTCATTAATAAAAATATTTTTGGCGTTTTATGCGGGAGAGTCAAGTTATAGAATATCATTAGCAGAACCTTGGATGAAAATTTACTAACTACCTGGACAGGTGTATGCTGAGTATAACCTACCTGTACAGTTGTATGCTGAAGAAGTATAACCTACCTGGACTGGTGTATGCTGAAGAACTATAACCTACCTGGACAGGTGTATGGTCAAGAAGTATAACCTACCTGGACAGTTGTATGCTCAAGAAGTATAACCTACCTGGACAGTTATATACTCAAAAGTATAACCTACCTGGACAGGTATGATTAAATAGCCGCTCTCAGACAGAGATTGTTCCACTGCATCATTGAAGTCAGGGTAGCGAACTCTTGGGCAGTTAAGTCCAGGGAACAAATCTGAGATAAGTCCCAGGAACAATGGAACATCCTCGAAGACAAACTTGGGTAAGTTCATGTCACGCAGTGCCCTCATGAGCACCACATCCTGGACAAGACAGGCAAGGGCAATGCATCATCTTATAAGTCCAGGGACAGTGCTGGCCTGAAGCATCATCAGACTTTTGATGAACTAGGTGGTGGTTGAAGGGCCAGCTGTGATGGGTGAAGGGCCAGCTGTGGTGGGTGAAGGGCCAGCTGTGGGGGGTGAAGGGCCAGCTGTGGGGGGTGAAGGGCCAGCTGTGGGGGGTGAAAGGCCAGCGGTGGTGGGTGAAGGGCCAGCTGTGGTGGGTGAAGGGCCAGCTGTGGTGGGTGAAGGGCCAGCCGTGGTGGGTGAAGGGCCAGCTGTGG